GCTAACTCAATGGTATTATTCCCTTACAGACTTCTGAGCAGGGACCACCAAGTCTCTGCTTGAATACCTCTGCTGATGGAAATTACATAAACTTCCAAATCAGTTCAGTTTGTCTTTAGTGAAATTTCATGTTAAAATGTTATTAAATTTTTTAGGTACAAATACGCATGCTAGGGTAAGTTTTGCAGCCATCACTTCCCTAATTTTAAGTCTAATGGCAAACTTTCAACCTGCTGCAGGTCTTATTATCCTTCTTCTGAAAAGATACTTGGGAAAATAAAGAGGCAGGCCAGAAGTTCTGAGATTTTCCTTAATGGCATTGTTGCTATAGTTACAGCTGAAATGTTTTATAAAGCAAATTGCTTATTGATGGAAAAATGCTGAGTAGCACAGCAGCATCCTTTTTCTGGGTTTTTATTGCCTTCATTTCCCACTCATCTCTTAAGATTAATGGATTTTTGGAGCGTTATTTTGTTTTGAACAAGCCCTCATCATTTGATGTTAAAGTAAATGTATTTTGCTAACATGTACTAGCTGACAAACGAGTATGTTCTAGGGTATTATGATCAAAGTGGAGTTACTTCTTTATTAATATCAAAACACTGAATAAAAATGTGTAGTGTAATATAGAGTGTTCTGAGTTTATTTAATACATTTAATAATATAGGTGAAATATACATTTTATTATGTTTTATACTATTAGGAGATAAGTTACTATGAGTATACTGAAAATAAAATATTAAAGACACAAAAACAAATGGAAATGGTCTAAGAGCATACGTAATGATTACTAGTATGTTAAAAAGCCTATATAAGCATTTGTATTTTGTAATTTTATGTATTAAGCAATATAATAAAAATGCACTCACTATATATAAATTATACATAATACCTTATATTATCTATAATATGTATTCTTTTTATTGTATCACTGTCTTTTATAATATTTCAAAGAGGAAACCGTAACTTATTTGATATTTAACTATAAGGCAAAATACAAAATAGTGGTGTATTTAACAATTGCAACTGTTACATAAGAGGTTAATGCTATCTCTGATAAAATCTTTTCAGCTAGTTAAAGTCATATGGCAATGATACATTATGCATTTAATTCTTATATAATTTAAGGAATCTTGATAAATTTATCTTCAGATTACAACTGGACTAGTAACATGAGTATTTAATCTTGTGGCTATTAAGTAACTAGACGTGCAGATAACATTTTTTGGACCTACTATTTATAATACTTTTCTAATTAAATTCCTGACTACCTTGGTACAAATCTTTGGGATTACTTTTGGTTAAAAATGCAAAATTGTGAAGCACAGATTTTTACATTGTCTTATGTATTTATACAGCATTTCCCAAATTACTTTTGTAAAGCAGATAATTGTAGTCATTGTATTTGTGTTTAATGATGATATGATAATGACAGTGACTATATGGTCCAAAATGAAATTTTATTTTTACTCATGTTGATTCATGGTGTTTTTCTCATTTCTACTTTTGATTTTACTTTAGCCTCTGTCTTTATCTACCCTCTCTCTTAATAAGCAAAATTTAAATGTACATGTTTAGAGAAATACCCAATTTTTGGTGTGACTATAGTCTCCCCCCTTTCAATTTCTTACTGACATTATAACATTTTCTACTGAATGTGTTGGCATCCTGATTTTGGTTCTAGGGCTGCAGAAGGAAGAGACACATAGATGAGACAACCCATTCAGCATTTCTAATTGGTGAAAAAATACCCCTTTGGGACTTACAATTTATGAAATTTCTTTTTTTTTAGATTTTATTTATTTATTTTTAGAGAGGGAAGGGAGAGAGAAAGAGAGAGAGAGAGAACATCAATGTGCTGTTGCTGGGGGCTGTGGCCTGCAACCCAGGCATGTGCCCTGACTGGGAATCAAACCTGCGATGCTTTGTTTTGCAGCCCTCGCTCAATTCACTGAGCTACGCCAGCCAGGAATTTATGAAATTTCTTATGTTCTAAATTAATTCATCAGACAGTCCTGTTATATCCATCACATCCTTTTCATTTTCCTTATTTTTTTAATGTATATTAAGCTGCTTTTTACCCACATCATATTTCTTCTATGTTATGTGAGTTCCTTGGTGGAATAAAACTTACAGACATACTTTTAAAATGATATATGTACTCCATAGATATAAATAGAATATAGATATACAGAATGGGTGCATAAGTGAATTATGCTGTCATAATTATTTGACATAATGGTAACATCAGTTTCCAAATTAATTTTGGTGACAAAGTGCAAAGTCATAAGAATTAGGCCTTTGCCTTGTAATCTTTCTCAGAATGCAATTCAGTCATGCAACCAAGCAAGTAAAGCAACATCACTTTAAAACTATTACAAAATAGAAATGATTAAGTATATTAGGTTTAACTGAATATACTACAGATTTTAAGCAAAACATGAATTTGAACTAGCCATCGAAACTCTAAGAATAATATCCTTTACTCTTAGATTTGCACTATTGCCTTCTCTTTGCCTTGAGACCTTAGTAGTGTGTGGGTTATCATTGCTTGTATGTTTACCAAGCATTATTTTTAAATCGTGGGGATGAGATGTTTTATTTGACATAATAGATTAAATAGATTATTCCTTTTATCCTCCTATTTAAACTTCAAATGTATGAAAATAATGAATATACTATATTGAAATAGTCACTATGTTTATTGCTTTAACACATTTACCTTTTAACTGTGTACCATTGAGCCATGTACCATCATGGTATCATATTCTATAAGTAGTAGGAAATGAAAACTTTGTAAGAATAATTTGTCTCCAAAACTCAGATAAAATAATCACATTTTTATAATTGACAAAAATTTCCAATGTAATTAAACCTGTATTTCTGGTATACTAAAAATTTTGTTATTCATATTAGAATATGCCTTGGATGGAAGTGCATAACACATACCTGAATTTAGTTTTTGAATCAGTTTAACAAAACTGCATAGTAATTCAGCTATTTGTGTCCATGTTTGTTTTAAAAAAAAAATCAGGCTCTGAATGAAGATTTCTGAAATGTGGCTCAACCAAGTAATGGTTTTTAGAACCACAGCACAGATTAAGATTGATTTTCTGTAGGTAATATGGAGGCATCTCCTACAGGGACAATTCCACACAAGGACTGGAGCTTTTAGTATTTGCTGTAAGGGATCAAAATAGTTTCCTTCCCAAGACTTTTATATAAAGTTATTACATAAAAAGTCCACAATTCACTTCAGAGCTACTTAAGAAGCAAATTAAGAAGGGAATTGGTACTAGGTGATCATAAACACAAAAAGCAAATTAATTTATCATACATACTAATGTTTTATAGACCGCATTTTACTGAAGTTAAATAATTGAATTTTGTCCGTTTTAGATCAGTAAATAAGAATTATAATATCTTACAGATTTCAACAGTTATTATTAAGCAACATTTTTATGTCTTTAAAGCAATTGGAAGCTATAGTAAGAAATGAAACATGTCTGATATTTTAGAACAGTAAGTGATTTTTGCCTCTAAGTAATTTAAGTTATGCAACTGAAAAGTGATCTAGTGTGAAAAGCAGTTTGAAATTGAACTTCACAGAAGACAGTGCAACATATTAATGCATTTCTGTTTTACATGACCCTCCAACTGCGTACTTTACAGAATAAGGACTCATTAAATAATAACAATTAGAAGCTGAATTTTTAGCCTTTACTTTATAACAAGTATAATGTAAGAAAAAGCACAACATATATCGGTACGGGAATTTTATTAGTCTAACATAATCTATCTCTTATGTGATTATTTGTTCATGTTATCAGAGAGTAGTTTTAAGTCCTTAGTTTGCAACAGAATTAATCAACAGTTTATTGAAAAGGCGTATCTTCCTTCTTCTAGACAGGGATCCTGCTAAAATAGTTTTGGTGTAATTCCCAGGAATTTGATTGTCTAAGGGCATGATTCGGCACAGGTAGCCCATGAATTACACTGAGGAGCAGAGATAGATTGGATAGTTTTAGTCAGCAATTCAGAAAACTCAGGAGATAAAGGTATCAAACTATTTGAACCTGTGAATGCTTCTTGCTCAATTGAATGGGAAGTGTGAATATTTTTTAAAAGATTTTATTTCTTTATTTTTAGAGAGGGAAGGGGGAAGAGAGAGAGAGAGAGAGAGAGAGGGAGAGGGAGAGGGAGAGGGAGAGAGAGAAAGAGAGAGAAAGAGAGAGAAAGAGAGAGAAAGAGAAAGAAACATCAGTGTGCGGTTGCTGGGGACTGTGGCCTGCAACCCAGGCATGTGCCCTGACTGGGAATCAAACCTGTGACGCTTTGGTTCTCAGCCTGCGCTCAATCCACTGAGCTATGCCAGCCAGGGGAAGTGTGAATGTTTTTAAAAATCAAGTTTTATTTTAATCTAAAAGCAGGTAGAGAATTATGCCTGATTCTTGAAAACTCTTAATGTACCTTGTAAAATTCTGCTGTAGTAGAGAGCTATATTTGACCCAAGTCAGGAAATAGGTGATTATAGGCTAAATCCTAAAAACAAAACACAAAACCTTTTGATTAAATGAAAATTACTATGAAATTTAATAGTTTTTGAATAAATGTATGATAGATATACTAATTTCAAAGATACCAAGCTTAAAAAGTTAGTTATATTTGGAGCAAATGGAGATTTTTCTCACATACACACACACAAGAAAGAAAAGAAAGGGTATTTATCTGGGTCCATTTGTAATGTTAAAGACTTGTTTTCTTTTTTTACAGTGAAGAAAGTGAATTATTCATCTTTAAGGATTTCTCATATTTTTTATTTCAAATAGTCTTTTGCAATCTCCTTTAAAAATCACTTTTTCATTGATTTAGAGACCAGTGATCCCCCTTCTCCATATACAAAAAAGAACTAGATATTGCCAAATTTTAACCTTGGTAAATGCACCAAAACAAACTGCATTATATTATAATTAATCTGTTCAATACTGTTTTGTTTGCAGATTCAAGAATGGCTTTGTTTAAATTGCCAGACCCAGAGAGCAATATCAGGACAGCTTGGAGACATAGACAAAATGCCTCCTATACCATCAGGACCAAAAACCTCTCCTATACCTGTCTCTACAGAACAATCACCTCAGAAAACAGCAATACCTGGTCAAGTAAAAGTTAAAAAGAAGGAACAAGAAGTAAAAACAAAAGGTGAAAAAATCGTTCCAGAAAAAGTAAAAGAAACACCTTCCATTGAAAAAATGTCCCCTAAGGTAACCACCGATCAAAAACAAGATGAGAGTAAACAAGAAAAAGTCAAAGCTTTAGCCCCTCAAGAAAAAAAGGCAATCTCTGAAGAAAAAAAGCCACTTTCTGAAGAAAAAAAGCCAACCACTGAAGAAAAACGACCACCTCCTGAGGAAAAAAGGCCACCTCCTACAGACAAAAAGCCACCCCTTGGAGAAAAAAGGCCACCTTCTGAAGAAAAAAAGCCACCTCTTGAAGAAAAAAGACCACCTCCTGAGGAAAAAAGGCCACCTCCTGGAGACAAAAAGCCACCCCTTGGAGAAAAAAGGCCACCTTCTGAAGAAAAAAAGGCACCTCCTGAAGAAAAAAGGCCACCTCCTGAAGAAAAAAAGCCACCTCTTGAAGAAAAAAGGCCACCTCTTGAAGACAAAAAGCCACCTCCTGAAGAAAAAAGGCCACCTCCTGAAGAAAAAAGGCCACCTCCTGAAGAAAAAAAGCCACCTCTTGAAATAAAAAAGCCAGCTCCTAAAGACCAAATGCCAACCCCTCAAGAAAAAAAGTTTCCCCCAGGAGCAAAAACATTAGCTCTAGAGGAGGAACAGAAACATGAGTTACTTAAAACTCAAGTACAAATCAATGAAGAAATGCTTGAAGGCAGAATGGCTCCACAGGCAACCCAGGAAAAGAAACCATCACAGATGGAGAGGGAGGACTTAGCATCTGGAATGTTTCAGACTCTGCCTGAGGAAGATGATGGGAAAACTGAAAAAATAAAAGATCAGCCACAGGCAGTTGGCACAGCAAAGCCTGATCAGGTGGAACCTGGGAAAGAAAAAACAGTAAGTTATTTTTTCCTAACTTTGCACAGTCTTAGGTATATAATATACTAATTTATATCTAAGTACACAGAGTGCTTAATGTTAATTATATAAGTAAAATCCTCCAATTAATTGTGTTTTCATAAAAGTGTAACAGTTGTTTGCTAAAATGAAGAGCTCTGGTTTTTTAGAGAGCTTAATCTAATTTAATAAAGCATAGATATAAAATTATTTTTCTAGCTTTTATGTCTATCAAATAATTTATCCAAATTCTATAGTGTGATGAAGTTTCCTTTTTAAGTTACTCTTTTTCTCTCCACTATGAACATAAAATCAGTATCCTCCTTTAAAATGAAATAATGTGTGTTTTTGAGTTTCCATTCACTTATCTACTTGGTTAAATGAGTCAACAAGTTTTTTTCTCATTTAAAAGCCTTTTAAGTTGTGTTTAGCCATAATGTTATATAACAGTGATTGTAAAAAATGTGGAAAAGCTTAAGACGTCATTTTTTTTCAGTATTTTTACTGAATTCAGTAACATTTTAATTAGTTCATTCTGTTCGAAGGTTTGTTGTGTTTAATACTGTAGGGTTGTTCATAATCTAAACATAATCTGCAGTAAAATGTACTTTCTTCTTCTTTAGTAGAAACTTTTAAGAGTCTGCTACCTTTTCCAATATTTACACCAGCAATAAACTCATTTTTAGAAGAACTTTGATTTTTCAGATTACAAGAGCTCTTAAAATATATCTGGTTGAATAATTTTAATTCACAGATATAACAGTGGCTTGCAGGAAAATGAAATGATTTATTAGTGTTTAAAGTTAACATTAGAATGGATAATCCATCCAGACTCTGTTTAGTTGTTTTTCATTGTGGTTTGCATTTTTTAACATATGCTTACTAACATACCTCTAGTATATGATGCATACCTCATTAAATAAATTTTGATCTTCTTTTGTTATATAAATGAATTTATCAGAGTCAGAGAAAGCAGATGCCCAGATATGTTTTCTCTACATCAATGACTGGATCTAATCACTACCACTAGCAGCAGCAGTAGCACCACCTACCCATAGCTAACTATTTTTCAGACCTCGATGCTTTTTACCATTTTCCCTTTGTGAAACTATCCTTGGCTTTCATGACCCTTCTTTTATTGTCCTCTCTCTTTCTGATAATCTCATATGAGTTCTTTGATTATGGCTATTGCTTTTACTTTCCCAGTCTCCATAAGGTGAGATTTTTCTTTGAGTTCTGTCTCCTTTTCTCTTAGAGGAGTCATATGAACAATTCCTAAACCCAGTTGTGTACCTTGGCCCTTTTAATTATCAGACCAGCATTTTCAAATACTCAATAAATCATCCCACTTCAAAGCCTCACTGTAAACTAGAACTCAGCATGTTAGAATATTGCCCACTGTCTGTAGGACCAGCTTCTGCTTCTGACTTTTCTATTTCCTATAATGGCACCATCATTCCCACAGTATCTGATTTTCCAGTCTGAGTAATCTGAGGTCTCTTCTTACACACTCTTTGCTCTACACATCTAGTATATCACAGTGCTGTTCCTTAGCTCCCATGCCTAAGGACACTATCCCACTTATGACCTGCATAACCTTTCACCAATAATTTGAGTAATTCTATTACTGGTCACCTTGCCTTCTGTTTCCCCCTTCTCCAGTGCACAGCTGCCAGATAATTATTTTCCATGGTCCAGACAGTTTAACTCAGATACTTACAGTGATTATCTATTGCTTGTTAAATATAAACAATGTGTCCTAATATTTTGTTAAAGTACTGCTTTTTGTATTAATTTGCACTTTTATCATTTATGTCATTTTCTATCATACTTTTTTATTTTACAACTTCAATATGTATATATTTGTTATTTCCAAATTAAGTGTATGTATTAAGTTACTGATATATTATTTATAATATAAAATATTGACAAAAATAAAAATCAGTGAAATCAATAAAAATTATCATTTTATTTACATGTGATTTCTTTATCATTGTATTTATTTAAATGTAGCTATATTTGACCACATTAAGATATGATTTATGATACTCTTTTATAGAGAGCATAGATTGACTGCACTTCAATATTTTAGAAATTTTAAGTCTGAAATTTTTTGATTGGGATTAATTGAAATGAAACTTCTAGATTGAGCTGATTTTTGTATTTTGACATTTAGTTTTAATGACCTTCATAACAAAAAAAGATAACCCACAAGCATATAGCAGAAATGAGTGAAGTGGATCAAAGATCATATTGCTCAATCTTGCTATTTTCTGAATTTAAAATAGAAAACAAATTTTTTTCTTAATTGTTGAAATTCAACAAATAAATGTTAATCTTCTGATACCAATCATCAGAAAATGAGATGGTTTTAAATATTTTTAAACAAAAGGCTTTAAAACCCACTAAAGTTCTTTATGTGGAAGATTCATAAAGAGAATAAAATATTTTCTTTAAAGTTTATTAAATGAGTAGATATGACAGCTTTAAAAATGATGTTTCATTTTATATAGCATAATCATATAATTTCCAAATATCTGTCTTCAAAGGAGCATTTTTAAAGAAACAGCTATTTATTTTTCCTTAATACTTAAAATGTAGCACATTGCTAATAACCAGGGTTTAATTTTTTCCTAAATATCTAATAAGTAGTATATTACTGAAAACCAGTTGTCATCACTAAAAAGTTGAGCACCTTTGGGATTCTTCTACTTGTGTTTAAAAATAATTAAATCTTCACAATTATAACTCTTCAAGTTAATTTCTTGTGATATAATCACTAAACCTGTAGTTAAAATATATTCATAGTTATTCTCTATCATTACAAAATATTAAAGATATTTTTTGAAATATGAAGGTCTCATTAGTATTGAGCATATACTATATCTGTAAAATCTTGAGTCATTCTCTGCAATTATGGCTTACTTGTAACAGACCTGAGTAAATGAATCTCTTATGTACTGCTGTCTCTATAAACTTACTCTTAAAAAAAAAAAACAATTCCAATCAGAAAAGCTGCTCCTCAGTGTTTAATATGTAGTTTTTCATTAAATATATATATGTGTATGTATTTTTGTGTGTGTGTATATACCTTTATTAAACCAATCCCTCAATATTGAGGCTATCTTCATTTGTACATTATTCCTTAATGTCTCACAAATGTTAAGTCTTGAAGGATTTTATTATTGAAACAGATTGTTGAACATTATAAACTGAGCATGTTAGATATATCTACACTTTGCTTCTATTATTATGTAACCTTTTGTTTTTTACTTTGTTCTAGTAATTTTTCTCCAAGCGTTCCACAGTTATATCTTTGCTTTTTCTAACAATATATGCTAACAAACACATACATGCAGTTTGATTTGTTGTATTGTGTTTTACATATTACTTTAGCCATTCTTCCATGATAGAAAAAAGTTTACCCAGAACATGTGACTTTTTAAAATACTATTAAATAAGAAAACTCAAATGAAGATTATGTCCTTGTTACTTAATTTACTGAAAATTTATAAAGTACCAGAATGTTCTTTTGGTGAAAATAATATAAATTTGTGATAGTGTCATAATATCACTTGCTATAATGCAAAAGCATTATATTATAGCTTTATTTTATAAAGCGTATGTGTTTAGACAATGTGTTATTAGTGATAATAGATATAATACAGATATCAAATCGTTTTTCTGATAATTTCAAACATTTTTGGCCAACTTGTGTCAGATCTTACTTAACTTGGTCATTGTTGCTTTTACCTTGTAAAATTGCGGATGAAAAGCTTATAACAATATGGAGTGTAAGCTTCTTATTCATGTGTTTCTATGTTTCTTACATTATTAGTATTATCTTTAACACAGGATTTTTTCATGAAAATCTTTTTAAGGAATATTTTGTCTACCACTTACCTAATATAGGAAAGTTGGTTTAATTGAAACTGGGTAATATGAGGCACAAATCTGCCTAACTGAACAATAAGCCTCAGTGTAGAGGTGAACAAATGAAACAACTGCCTCACTCTACCTTTTCCTTACAGCATAACTTCCACTGTTTCCCAGGATTCTCACAGACCATGCAACCAAATGACATGAGAAATAAATGAATAGTGGTGCTAATCTTTTTATTAAATGGTAGTAAGATATAATTTTAGATTGAAAATACAGCAACAATGTTAATGTTTTCTTCTTATAGTCCCATTACATAATTTGGTATATTTGCCTGGGCTTCTGCACGCCACGGTCAAGACTTCTGACTTAATAGGTTAGCTTGGCTTTCTTGATCTTCTAAAGGATGCCTCCAATATAACTTTCAAGCATCCTAATATTCCACATTAGTGAGAAATAGAAAGCCCAAATAGGCCTTTGTGTAATTCTTGAATGTAGTTTGTGCTATCTCTCTTTTGAACTTGATCTTATTTCTTCTCTGTACACTGATGCTGCACTCTTACATTAAACCCATGAGAAAAATCCTACCTGGACCACTGGACCACTGACATCCTTAGTGGCAGTCATTTTTGCTGCTGAACTCCCTATTCTGATAAGTTTTAAATTAGTTTCCCTTGCAAATCAAAATAACACTCTTAATTTACTTTTTACTATATTAGAGTCACTATGTCAAGTACTTTTTCTGTCATTTAATCCATGTAACTAATGATAAGGTAAATATTATCAAATCTGTTTTAAAAAGGGAGAAACCAACTTTCTGTGCTCAAGCTCACATATATGAGAAACAGCAAAGATAAGACTATAGTTCAGATGTAATTATGAAGGCTGAGATTTTTAAACACTATATATAATGCTTTTTTCCTGTGACACTTTTAACATACTGCCTTTTCATAATTATTATTATCCATATCACTTGGCAACTCCCACTATAATCCCAAACACTTTGTGTAACTTTTACATTGTTTATATATTAGTTATTTTACTTACTCATTTATTTGTCACTTTGTCATATTAATATGGTATATTATTTGCATTTCTTTGTTGCCACATCATTTTCTTTCCATTCATTGCTGTCTTTCAAATGTGTATGTCAAATGGAATTAAAGTTTTTTCTGAAATATAATAAATAATGTGATAGGTATATTCTTCTTTACTTTTTTAGCTTAATACTTTAAAATTACATGCTACTACAGAATTCTCTCTTTTTACTTTTATACTCAACAGAATACATTTGAAACACTACACAGAAACACGATAGCTTTCTGAATAAAAACCAAAATTTGAACATCCTTTAGCATAAACTTTTATTTCTAACTAAAATGACTCAGGGGTTAACATTCAAGTTATGTATAGCTACTATATATAATGGCATCATAATCAGAAAGGATGAAAAATAATGTTTTCTGTAGTGAAAAAGATTCCCCTGTAGGTAGGACTGAGTTTTCTCTCCAGACTCAATAAATTTTATGGACTTAATCGTGTTCACAGTGTTTGGAGCACTCTAACTAGCAAGCTATTTTGACCCAAACATTCTATAAATGATTAAATATTCTTCATTTGTTGTTTTACTTTGGCTCATTAAAATAAATGACTTGGGGGAAATTAACAAAAAACTTAATATCACACCCTTTCTTTGTATAATATTATATTCATCAGGAATCCAGTTCTTTTTTTTTAAGATTTTATTTATTTATTTTTAGAGAGGGAAGTAAGAAAGAGAGAGAGAGAGAGAGAGAAACATCAATGTGTGGTTGCTGGGGGCTGTGGCCTGCAACCTAGGCACGTGCCCTGACTGGGAATCGAATTTGCGACACTTTGGTTCGCAGCTCGAGTTTAATCCACTGAGCTACGCCAGCCAGGCAGGATTCCAGTTCTTAACCCCAATAATATACAGATAATTTCAATTTCCATTTAGACTTCAACATGGAAGTCTAAAAGTTTCATTGGGGAAAACAGCAGAACTAAGTTTGGCAATTCAGAGGTGTCTTGGTGTATTTGTCACTACAGCAGATGTCTCAAGATGAGACACCACGCAATGAGTTTCAAATGGATCTCAATTCACTGACTTTCTGCAGTAGAATATTGGAAGGAAGAAGAATTCTCTACTCTTTGCTTTATACTGAAAAGTAAAAGAATATGAATTTTGGCCTCTGGAAATTTTGTTATTGTTTCATATACACAAACTAGGCAGGCTCAAGTAACCATAATTTTATATATGGGAAATGCACGATACATAATAATAAACAAAAGTCAGTATAATAGGTGTAATGGAAAATATACTTAGAAAAACATAGGAAAATGTGTTCCTTGGGGGAGCTGGCAAAAATAACATTGCTTTCTTTTTAAAAAACATATGCTTAAATTATGGCTGTTCCCACTCATTGCTTCTACCTAAGATGACAAACAAAATTCTCATGCAGAGTATAGATACTGGAATTTTATTCTTATGTAATAATTTCAGAGGTTATTCTAGATGTATTTTGTAAAAAATAAAATGGATAATTAAACACCTGACTAAATGAAGAAAATAATACAAAATAAGAAAATTCAGTAACATTTATACACATATGTATGTGTATTGTATATGTATGTCACTTAGAAAGAACCATTTGAATCTATTTACTTCATTAGATATTAATAGGTTAGTAAATTGTTTGACATTCTTCTCAAAAATGAGTATACAGCTACATGTTTTTTGAAGCAACTGAGAGAAAAGTCTCAGTCTTTTAGTTCTAAAGACGTTTGGGAGAAAATAACCCCAATTATTCTTTCCTCACATAAATCCTTTGATCATATTTTTCTAGAATTACAATACTTCAGTCATCTGTTTGAAGTTTGAATAATTAGAGAAAATCAGACCCAGATTACAAGCTGTGTTTTACAGCCTTCTTAGTTCCATGTACTCTTTCATGTGTGATCAAATCATTCCTTTTTTAAGATACGTTATTTACAAAGCAAGGTTTTGAGATGTTAAATCTCTATAGGCTGCTTAACCTATATCAGTACAAATTGCACTAGTACTAGCACCAGGTATGTCATGAAGGAGAGTGGATAGCCACAGAAAGGATAAATGGATGGACAGATGAGTACCTCAATGTGCTGATCTCTGTATACAAAGAAAAACTTTGTTTAAATTTTAGCAGCAGGTGAAAAGATGAATGTGTGGGTACCTTCAATCAAAGAGGCAAATGATCTGATGATTAACAAGTTAATATTGTAATGAAGAAGCAGGTCACTGACCTTTGTCAGCAGACTTTATACCTATGCCACTTTAGTATGATAAAAATTGACATTATGATTTTTTTCATTATATTATGGTACAATAACATTACCAAATGTTCCTTCTGAACAGTTCAGCCAAATGGCCTTTGGTCACCTCACTTGATTTTCTTATTAGCCAATTCTAACATTTATCTTAGACCCATAAATCTGCAGAACAAAATCTTCCCAGATCTTGCCACTTTATAATAAGGAAAAGAAGAGGTCTTAGTGGGCTGGGGGAGCGGATCCTCACAGCATCATCATAGGTAAATTATGATTGAATCCTCTGAGGAGTATGGGGGAAAGAGACCAAGAAGACAGAGGCAGGAGGGAAAAGGGGGTAAAACATATTACTGGAGAAAGAAGGAAAGCATGAACACCAGAGCCTCATAAAAGGGATTGTAGGGTAGGTATTTTGTTATTTATTTGTGTTAGTCTTCTGTCTAATGCATCTTAATTTCCTTTGTCATATTATATATGTCTGGTCCTAAACTTATTTTTTGTAAAATGTCATTAGAACATTCAGAATCTATTGAATAAAATTATAATTTATATTTTATTATACTCAATGAATTGTTATATATAACAGCGATAGCATTTTTTCTATATATGTATAGTTTTGTTACATTGTTATGTTTTATAATATATGCAGACACAAAATAAAGAGTACAAATGAATCCACCAAACTTTGATTATGAAAGATCATTTTCTTGACCTTTTATTCACAAGAAGCTTAGGTACTCCACCCCTGTGCTTATGTTGTTTACTGTGATTTAGTGAAACTTGGGAAAGAAGACAAGGAAAGACATAGAAAGCATACTAGATTCAAAAGTGTGCTATGGCATTGTGTGGAATGTGAGGAAAGGGAAATTTCCCTCCACTGTGATCATCCAAAAAGATTTTATTAAAAGAATGCTTTGCCTGTGCTTACTTCTTCAATATGAAGCTCTTAAAAGAAAGGACACAGTTTTTGAGTGCTCATTAGCCCTACTACTATAGTCGTAAAACTGTAAATAAGTAACCTTTTCCTACAAAGGCATTTGAAATGGTCCAGGGAAATTTAATTCTTGGTAAACCAAAGGGTAGGCACTGATTTTTGGAGTAACTTGTGAAAAATATATCAGACTGCCTTTTTAAAATTGAGTTATGTTGTAAATTCAACTAAAGCATTTTACTCTATGGTGTGTCAAGTTACATCTCTGAGCGTTCATAATAAAGACATATATAGAGATGCAAATGATTGTAAAATGAATAGCAAGCCAACCACTTCTATATTGATGAACGCTGTAGGTAAAAGAAGGAGGATGCAGGGAAGGATGTGGAAAAGGCGGAAGAGAAAAGGAAGGAAAGCAGGAAAGAAGAGATATGTTTTTGCATGTTTGTTGTTTGTTATCCTACCTGACATCTGTTCATTTCATCTGTAGATAGATTGGAGGAGCACATGCCAGCACACCCAATAAAAATATTGAAATGGTTAATTCAAGACACAGACTTGGAATTGAGTGACCTTATAGACCAGCATTGAATAAACATGTCCTTGTGCAGCTCTTTGACCTCTTCCTTTCAAAGGAGTGTGGGGTTTTTTGATGTTTTCCTTCAAACATGGAAACTAACTGGATCAGCTGGGTTTTCAATTGCTCATAGGTTTTTAAAATTTGGACTTATACAAAAAGTCTCTGTGTTTAACATTTTTATTTAAGGCCTCTGATTCTGAATCAAATTGTTTTCATGACCATATCATAGGAAAGCAATCAGTCAAGCCTCTGATTTGCCTACTGTCTGTCTCAGCTCCCCAGAAAGCCCATGTTTCCATTCACAAAATTGGTGGTGGTTCTAATTGAAGGGAGCTGACTTCAAAATTCTTTGAAGGTAAAAATCCAAGTATTTTTGAAGTAGGAAGATGTTTGTAAGTGATAGTTGTTAAATATCTTGGGGTAGGATGCTGATGATAAATGTGATTAACAACTCTACAAAAATAATAGCTATTTCTCTTTTACTAAAGTCATGTGTCAGGCCAATTATTGTGTTACTTTTTCACAGTTTACAATTCTAAGCATTCTATTCAAGTAATACAACATTATAGTATTAACCTCAATATCAAGTAAGTGTAGTTTTTAAAGGCATTTTAAAAATGTTTTTAAAAAGCAGTGCCTTGTTTGAATCTCTCTCAGGAAAAAAAAAGTTCCTTGGTGGTAGGTGAGGCAAATATCATTATGGCCCCATAATGATATATGCTCACTTTAGTTAATTTTCCAACATCCCATAATACTTGTAGCCAGGTAAAAGCCCATCCTCTGATTCTTTCTTTGCCTGGCCTCATAATCCAGAAGTATTAACTATATCAGTGGAAACTTATCATTAATTTTTTTCTTTGATAATTTGAATTCCATTTCAAAGTAAATATACTGATAAAGAAAATCATGTTTTTTGAAGGAAAATGGTATTGAAATATAAACAGATAGAATATTAATTAATGAAAAATATTGTGAATTGACATTTAAATTAATATTAAATGAAAACTAACCTTAATCAATATGTATTAACTACTTTCTTTTTCTTTTCTGCCCAAAGATTTATTTAAAACAATACTGGCATACAGTTGAATACATTTTTCTATATTTTTCCCTGTTCATAATAGTTATTTGTGAGTAATGGAGAGGCCATTTTATTAGTTTAATCACTTTAAGTTTTCCTGTATTTCTTCCTCCCTGATAGGAAAAGGAAGATGACAAATCAGACACATCAAGTTCTCAACAGCCCAAAAGCCCACAAGGTCTGAGTGACACAGGATATTCTTCTGATGGCATATCAGGTTCACTTGGTGAAATTCCAAGTCTTATTCCAAGTGATGAAAAGGATTTGCTGAAGGGACTCAAGAAGGACTCTTTTTTACAAGAAAGCAGCCTCTCCAGCTCCTCAGATTTGGCTAAGTTAGAAAGTACTGTCCTCTCCATTTTGGAAGCCCAGGCAAGTACACTTGTTGAAGACAAGTCAGGAAAGAAAACACAACCTCAAGTGGTTTCTCCTGAACCACCTAAGGATGAGCATAAAACTCAGAGTTTAACTGAAACACTAGAAACTATAATTTCGGAAGAGAAGCTCAAAGAGAGTCAAGAAGAAAAAGATGAATTTATGAAAGATGGCCAAAAAGATTCTGCTTCCAGAAAGGACCACAAAGAAAAGTCTGAGTTTTTTGATGACATAGCTACAAGAAGACAGCCTTATGATTCAGTTGAAGACAGTAGTGAAAGTGAAAACTCACCTGTTCCACAAAGAAAACGGAGAACTAGTATTGGTTCATCAAGCAGTGATGAGTACAAACAGGAAGATAGTCAAGAATCAGGTGAAGAGGAGGACTTTATTCGCAAACAAATCATAGAAATGAGTGCTGATGAAGATGCTTCAGGTTCTGAAGATGATGAGTTCATTAGGGACCAGCTCAAAGAGATCAGTAGTGCTATTGAGAGCCAAAAGAAGGAAGAAACAAAGGGGAAAGGGAAAGTAACATCAGGGAAACACAAGCGACTGACTCGAAAAAGTAGCACAAGCTTTGATGATGATGCAGGGAGACGCCATTCATGGCATGATGAAGATGATGAGACATTTGATGAAAGTCCTGAAATTAAATACAGAGAAACTAAAAGTCAGGAGAGTGAAGAACTTGTAGTTGCTGGCGGCGGAGGGCTACGTCGATTTAAAACAATTGAACTCAACAGCACGATAGCAGATAAATACTCTACAGAGTCATCACAGAAAAAAACAGTATTGTATTTTGATGAAGAGCCAGAATTAGAAATGGAAAGCCTGACAGACTCACCAGAAGATAGGTCAAGAGGGGAAGGATCTTCAAGTCTTCATGCTTCCAGCTTCACTCCAGGCACATCCCCTACATCAGTGTCATCACTTGATGAGGACAGTGACAGTAGCCCAAGTCACAAAAAAGGAGAGAGCAAACAGCAACGCAAAGCTCGGCACAGATCACATGGTCCTCTTTTACCCACTATTGAAGATTCTTCAGAGGAAGAAGAATTGAGAGAGGAAGAGGAATTATTGAAGGAGCAAGAAAAGCAGCGGGAATTAGAACAGCAACAAAGAAAGAGTTCTAGTAAAAAATCAAAGAAAGACAAAGATGAGCTTCGGGCTCAGAGAAGGAGGGAAAGACCAAAGACACCCCCCAGTAATCTCTCTCCCATTGAAGATGCATCTCCAACAGAAGAATTGCGTCAGGCTGCGGAAATGGAGGAGCTTCATCGATCTTCTTGTTCTGAATATTCACCTAGCATAGAGTCAGATCCAGAAGGTTTTGAAATAAGCCCAGAAAAAATCATAGAAGTGCAAAAAGTTTATAAATTGCCCACAGCTGTGTCTTTATACTCACCAACAGATGAGCATTCTATTATGCAGAAAGATGGTGGCCAAAAGGTATTAAAAAGTGCTGAGGAGATATATGAAGAAATGATGCATAAAACCCACAAATATAAAGCTTTTCCAGCTGCAAATGAACGAGATGAAATATTTGAAAAGGAGCCTTTGTATGGTGGGATGCTAATAGAAGATTACATTTATGAATCTTTAGTAGAGGACACATTCACTAGTTCAGTTGATGGCAGCCTGCTAACAAGGCAAGAAGATGAAAATGGGTTTATGCAGCAGGGAGGGAGAGAGCAAAAAATAAGACTTCCAGAACAGATTTATGATGATCCTATGCAGCAAATTACAGACCTCCAGAAAGAGTTTTATGAATTAGAAAGCTTACACTCTGTTGTGCCTCAAGAAGACATTGTTTCAAGCTCTTATATTATCCCAGAAAGCCATGAGATAGTGGATCTGGGTAGTATGGTAACTTCAACCAGTGAAGAAAAAAAATTACTAGATGCTGACGCTGCCTATGAAGAACTCATGAAGAGGCAACAGATGCAGTTAACACCTGAATCCAGTGAACCTCAGCCCCCCATCAGGGATGACCTGACAGAATCTATTATGGACTTTGATAGGTTGCCCGATGCATCTTTGACATCAAGTATTCTTTCGGGAGCATCTCTTACAGATTCAACTAGCAGTGCAACACTCTCTATTCCAGATGTTAAAATAACCCAACATTTTTCAACAGAGGAAATTGAAGATGAATATGTAACTGATTATACAAGAGAAATTCAAGAGATAATTGCCCATGAATCATTTATTTTGACATACTCTGAGCCTTCAGAAAGTGCTACAACTTTTCCACCCTCTGACACACCTTCCCTCACATCATCTGTTTCTTCAGTTTGTACCACAGATAGCTCCTCACCCATTACCACCCTTGATAGCATAACCACAGCTTATACAGAACCAGTAGACATAGTAACTAAGTTTGAAGATTCTGAGATTTCTTCATCAACATATTTTCCAGGCAGCATTATAGACTATCCAGAAGAAATAAATATATCTTTAGATCAGACTACCACACCAGATGGTAGAACTAGTGCTGATCATATTGAGATTTCCTTATCTGATATGCCACCTTCTGTCTTAGAATCTGAAGAAACTAAACCCAAGGGACTACTTGCTGATACCGTTTCTACTGACTTACCTATACCTGAAAAAGACCCAGTGAAAAAAGCCAAGAAGGAAACTGGGAATGGAATTATTCTGGAAGTTTTGGAAGCTTACAGAGATAAAAGGAAGGAGTCAGAGGTTGAACTAACAAAACTTAGCTTATCTGAAGCTGTGTTTGATCAACCACCTTCTGGAATAGTTCTTCCGATGAAGGAGGAAATCTCAACTGCATGCCTTATGTCCGGAGAAGTCTTTGGTAAAGCAAAACCTGAATCTCAGTTTCCATCTGGCAGTCCTTCTGTTTCCTCTCTTCCTACTAGTACACGTGTATTCTTACGCAGTTCTTCTTTGGACACATCAGCTCAACCTCCTCCCCCTCCTCCGCCTCCACCACCTCCTCCTCCACCTCCACCTCCTCCTCCTCCCCCACCCCTTCCTCCACCAACCTCACCTAAACCCCCTATTCATCCTAAAAAAAAGGTAACAGTTACAGCTCCAGTGACTCTAACTATGACAGCTATACCTCTAGTTGACAATGTTACTACTGTAGAGACCACAGCTGTTCCAAGGAGTAGTGGGTTTCCAGTAACAAAAATATATACCACTGCACCTCCACCTGTTCCTCCTAAGCCATCTTCAATTCCATCTGGACTTGTATTTACACATAGACCTGAGCCAAGCAAACCTCCCATTGCTCCTAAACCCGCAGTTCCTCAGCTTCCAGTAACTACACAAAAACCAACAGATACACACCCCAAACCAACAGGTCTATCTTCAACTTCAAATATGACATTAAATTTAGTCACTACAGCAGAGTATAAATTGCCTTCTCCTACCTCCCCTCTTTCCCCTCACTCTAACAAGTCCTCACCAAGATTTTCCAAATCTCTCATGGAAACTTATGTGGTTATCACATTGCCATCTGAACCCGGGACTCCAACAGATACTTCAGCTAGTCAAACAATTACTAGTTGGCCCCTGGGATCACCCTCCAAAGATCTGATTGCCATTGAACCAGTATTTTCTGTAGTTCCTTCTGTGAAGGCTGCAGAAATTTCACATTCATCAGAACAGGGCCTGTATATCTCAGGAGGTTTGGAGACATTTTCTGCCATCCCTATCACAACACTGTCTTCATGTCAAGCAGCTCCAAGTTCAGTTACACAGTTTCTTAAAACTGAAGTTTCTAAGGCTGAGGTTTCAGCAGCCAGAAGTACAGTCCCTACTGTTGGTCTCGGCAGTGTGTCTATAACAATTCCTCCAGAGCCTCTTGCTTTAGACAACCTAAACTTACAAAAGCATCAGCGTAAAGAAAACGGAAAGTTGCAACTTATCGGTGATGCCATTGATTTGCGTACAGTACCAAAAGTGGAAATTAAAGTAACTGAAAAGTGTATGGATCTTTCTGCTTCTACAATGGATTTGAAAAGGCAGACCGCAACAAATGAAGCCTATGGGAGACAAATCAGTACTGTCCAACCCTCTATTATAAATCTCAGTGCAACTTCATCAGTGGTGACTCCAATATCCCTGGTCACTGAGACAGTGACTGCTGTCACGTGCACAGTTGGTGCAAGTTACACCACAGGCACAGAGGGCTTTGTGGGTGTAGGACATGCAACAGCACCACCACTTCAGCTTACTACATCAAAGCATGCTGAGCTCCCATACAGGATACCAGGTGGCCAGTCCTTTCCTACAGTTAGGCAGGAAGCACCAATAAATTTATCTTTAGGTACTTCAGCACATGCAATGGCACTGGCTACTACGAAGCCCGTTACTATGCCTCCTATTGGTGTCACAAATGGATGGAGTGACAGCACCATGTCCCGGGGAATCGCTGATGGAGAAGTAGTGGATCTCAGTACAACAAAGTCTCATAGAACTGTAGTAACAATGGATGAATCTACTTCAGGTGTGGTGACCAAAATAATAGAAGATGATGAAAAACCTGTTGATCTGACTGCAGGGAGAAGAGCTGTGTGCTGTGATATGGTTTATAAGTTACCTTTTGGAAGGAGCTGCACAGCACAGCAGCCTGCAACTACTCTTCCTGAGGATCGTTTTGGTTATAGGGATGACCACTATCAGTATGATCGATCAGGGCCATATGGTTACAGAGGGATTGGGGGAATGAAACCTTCCATGTCTGACACTAACTTAGCAGAAGCTGGACATTTTTTCTATAAAAGTAAGAATGCTTTTGATTATTCAGGAGAAACTGATGCAGCAGTAGATCTAACTTCAGGGAGAAGTTCTGCAGGTCAGTATGATGTGGCATCAGACCTTTCCCTGAAATATCATGGTGTTCCTCATCTCATATCAGGATGAAAATGTGGTCCCTTTTCCATTTTGTTACTTTTTGTCTTTCTTTGGATATTTTGGCAACATATTTTGAAGTACATGTGCACTTTTATTTCTCTATTTTTTTAGAAATTTTTTCTGCCCAAAGTCATTGCATGTGCCTGCATGTTCAACATTGCTTTTACTCAGCATTTAATTAGGTTAACCAGTGAATTTGCATGCAGCCCCATTAATTTTGTTCATCAAGATTGAGAACTTTTTCAAACCCCCAAAACCATCATTCATTCTGGGAACTGGACTATAACTCTACCCTGTATTTCAGGTGAGGTAATGGATTATTCAAGCAAGACTACAGGTCCATATCCAGAAACACGACAAATCATTTCAGGAGTTGGGATTAGTACTCCGCAGTATTCCACAGCAAGAATGACTCCACCTCCAGGATCCCAGTATGGTGTGGGAAGTGTTTTGAGGTCAACTAATGGTGTTGTCTATTCTTCAGTGGCAACTCCAATCCCTTCCACATTTGCTATCACCACACAACCTGGCTCCATTTTCAGCACCACTGTGAGGGATCTGTCTGGTGTGCACATGACTGACGCCGTGACTACATTATCCACCTTGCACCAGAGCCAGCCAATGCCTAGATCATATTTCCTAACAACAGGTGCATCTGAAACAGACATTGTAGTAACTGGTATTGATATCAATGCCAGTCTGCAGACTATTACTATGGAAACTCTTACTGCTGAGACAATAGATTCAGTTCCCACGTTAACCACAGCGTCTGAAGTGTTTTCTGAAGTGGTGGGAGATGAAAGTGCTATTTTAATTGTCCCTGAAGAAGATAAACAACAACAGCAGCTAGACTTGGAACGTGAGCTGTTGGAACTGGAAAAAATTAAGCAACAGCGTTTTGCTGAGGAGTTGGAGTGGGAACGTCAGGAAATTCAAAGGTTCCGAGAACAAGAAAAGATCATGGTTCAAAAAAAGCTAGAGGAACTGCAGTCTATGAAGCAGCACCTTCTCTATCAGCAGGAAGAAGAGCGTCAAGCCCAGTTCATGATGAGGCAGGAGACATTAGCTCAGCAACAGTTACAGCTGGAGCAGATCCAGCAGCTGCAGCAACAGCTTCACCAGCAGCTAGAGGAGCAAAAGATTCGCCAGATCTACCAGTATAACTATGATCCTTCTGGAACTGCCTCTCCACAAACAACGACAGAGCAGGCAATATTGGAAGGTCAGTATGCTGCCCCAGAAGGCAGTCAGTTTTGGGCAGCTGAAGATGCAACCACTACGGCCTCAGCTGTTGTGGCAATTGAAATACCACAAAGCCAAGGATGGTATACGGTTCAGTCTGATGGCGTTACTCAGTACATTGCCCCACCTGGCATCCTGAGTACAGTTTCAGAAATACCTTTAACAGATGTCGTTGTAAAAGATGAAAAACAACCCAAAAAGAAAAGTTCTGGAGCTAAAGCCCGTGGACAGTATGATGAGGTAGGGGAAAATATGGCAGATGATCCCCGCTCTTTTAAAAAGATAGTAGACAGTGGTGTACAAACTGATGATGAAGATGCAGCAGATCGAAGTTACTCGAGTAGGAGAAGGAAAACTAAAAAGAGTGTTGATACAAGTGTCCAAACTGATGATGAAGATCAGGATGAATGGGATATGCCTACTAGATCAAGGAGAAAAGCTCGTGTGGCAAAATATGCTGACAGCACTCCAGAGGCTGAGAAGACCAAACCTCTGTCCAAAGTCTCCAGTATAGCAGTGCAAACAGTGGCAGAGATATCTGTGCAAACTGAACCGGTCGGGACCATACGAACACCTTCGATACGTGCACGCGTGGATGCCAAGGTAGAAATAATTAAACACATTTCAGCACCTGAAAAGACTTACAAAGGGGGCAGTTTAGGATGTCAAACAGAAGCAGATTCAGACACACAGAGTCCTCAGTATCTGAGTGCTACATCTCCACCCAAAGACAAGAAACGCCCAACACCTTTAGAGATTGGTTATTCATCTCACCTTCGGGCAGATTCCACAGTACAGCTGGCTCCTTCCCCACCCAAATCTCCAAAAGTCCTTTATTCACCCATCTCACCACTTTCACCAGGCAAAGCCTTAGAATCAGCCTTTGTACCTTATGAAAAACCCCTCCCCGATGATGTAAGTCCACAGAAAGTACTGCATCCAGATATGGCTAAAGTTCCCCCAGCGAGTCCTAAGACAGCCAAGATGATGCAGCGGTCCATGTCTGACCCCAAGCCTCTGAGTCCAACAGCAGATGAAAATTCCAGGGCTCCTTTTCAGTATACCGAGGGCTACACGGTAAGAGTGATTCTTTTCAGTTAGAAGACAATGGATGAGTTGATGTTAACCATGTGTTTGCAGACTTTAGGAAGCAATAGAATGCCTGGGACTTTAGGAACCTAATACTGAATTTCAGTGAGTATTGTTTCACTAGTAATTTGGGGAAGAAATAGAAATGCATACATTCCCACAAAAAGAAAACATACTATTTTGTAAGCAAAAATGAGAAGTTTATAATTTTATGACAATGAGATTGGAAATTTTGTTCTAATCTTGAATTCTCCCAAGTGTTTATTGTAGGCTGTGATTTCAGTGAATATAATTAATATTCATATTCAGTGATGGTATAAACATTGGATATAAACAAATAAGGCAAAGATGGCCATAAATTTAGATTCATGGATATGGGAATACTTAGTGGGGGGGTCTTTGGAGATTATTGAATCGGTCTCTTTTTGGTCCAGCCAGAATGTCTTCATAAAAAGGCTCTGGACGTTTACTACTCAAAAGAACAGGCAGTAAAGGCAGGCAGGCAGGTGAATGTGTAATATAATCTTCATAGTTCGTCCATACCTATTTTGTTTCTGACAACTGTCTAATCTCAGGTAAGCCTTAGTCCTGATGCTTATAAAAGCAAACAAAAATGTTTGTTTCTTTGAATAATAGAGATTAATTAATAAATTTGGTTATTTAGTAATTTATAGATATGCTTCAGAGGGAAAAGAACATATAGAGATATGTGGAACACATTTGTGAAGAACTCTGTAGCAGAAAATAAATATTAATGAGCTATAAAAAGCATATATATCCCATTTAAAATCTAATATATAATTCTTTAGAAGGTTATTATTAAATACAATAACTCAATTTAAAAGTTTCTCTTAATGCACTCATTTCTGAACTCTAGGGCTTTAAACCCTGAAGCTTCAAAATAGTTTTTTCTGAGATATTGACCCATAAATAGGGTGGAGCAAAAGTCGGTTTACAGTTGTGAGTATGCAAAACACAGAGTTTATTCTTGTATTATTACTTAGTATTTTATTATTTTCTATACAATGAACTATAAACCTCCTTTTGCCCCATACTATATATTAAATGTTGACTGTCAACTGACAAATATGTGGTTATACATTTATGGGTATATAAAAATATCAATAGCAATATAAATATTACAAATTCATGTGTAAGTTTTCTAGTTCTATAGTGACTATTTTTATTATGCACTTTCTCAAACAATATATCCTAAATGTAAAACTGTTTTCATGTGGAGGATAGAGGTCATAACTATTAAGTCAGGGAACCACTGATACGTTGGGATTTTGTTCAGTTATATGTAGCTTTGTTTCTGGAGTTAAATCTGTTGTGAGACATTATTATAACTTGGTTATAAAACATAGGTATTTTTACAGCTGTGGCCTGTAAATTCACCTAAAAAGTTACTTGGAAAACTTGGGAAATGTGTTTTCTAATAGTATTTGAAAATAATGTTCAAGGTTTCTCTCATTAGAAAGATTAGGCTTTCCCACTTTATCTATTGATCATGTACTTAATATATGGCCCTGTACTCTTAACTCAAATGAACTGTTAAAGAAGAGATTCAAGCTGTCAATATTTTTTCCTCACAATATTCACTTTAGACTTGGAAATATGGATTGAAAGCTACAATGGGTTGTATTGTATCAGTAATAGAGATTAACTATGTAAAGCAATTTTTTAATTGTAAGCCTGGATTATTAAGTATTAGTTGTACGGAAAAGAATAATCTTCTAAGTGATATTCACAGTGATATGAGCTTAAGAAATCTAGCTCAGTAGTGTACATATTGTCAATTTTCTCCGACCAGTAAAGCTGAAAAAAAAATCACACTATTCAGTTGTAATTGAGACAGCACAGTTAACACTTATAATACAGCATGGAAGATAAGTTTTATTCTATATGAGATTCTGTGGTAAGATTTCTTCTTCCTGGAAGTGTCAGGAAGATGAATGTGAGATTTCTGTTGGACCATGAAGAGAAAAGTGACAATCATTCTAAAGAGAGGGAACAGAATGTACAAATGTTCAGATTGGTGAACAGATTATAAAGCAAAGAAGAGAAGTGAAACTGGAAATTTACAAAGAAGAAGGTTGCAGGGGATCTAATTTGCTGAATTGGATTTACTTCCCTTGACTGTCGAGAGTCTAGATCCGAGTCCCCATCATTTGTTAATTTACACTGTGTACTAGCCCTTGGACTCTCTCTACTCTTGGCTTTCTTCCAATCAGTTCTCTCAACTGCATCTAGGGTGATTTTCTAAAATGTGTGTGTCAGATTAGATCATGCGTTCTTCAGCTTAAACTCGGACAGATTTTCATGAAATTCAGAATATATATCAGAAATGTCTTAACAGGGACTCATATGATCTGGTCTTGGCCTGTCTCACAACCTCATTTGTCATTTACCGCATTTGCCTCCCCTCCCACCCCCTGCACCTTCTCACTCTGCTTCTACAACTGACCTTGCCCTTCCTTCTTTGGATGTGCCAACCTCATCCTCACCCAGGGCTCATGTCTGGATCTATCTCCCCAAATGTTTGCCTGGCTTACTCTGGTGTACCCATTTCTGCTTAAATTTCACCTCCACAAAGAGGCTCTCTTTACTGCACTCTCTAAATAAGTCAACCTGTCACCATGGATCCTCATATCTACACCTTACTCATTTTTATATATTATTTATTAATCAAATACCATCTTTCATGTTATAGAACATAACCTCTACAACAGCAGGAATTTTGCTTTCCTTGCTGCCACAGTTCCAAGTGCCTAGAACAAAGTAAGCCCTCAACATTTATTGAAAAAAATGTATTAAAGGGACCAGTGTAGGCATAGAAGCAATGATATAAAACATGCATTAAAAGACTGGCTGCTCACCTTTAAATTACCACAGTCTAGACCCATCCTAGCCAGTTGTGTTGATAATTTAAACTAATATTTCCTTGGCTGAGAACGTCAATTCCACTTCATTGTTATGTAGACATCTGAAACACTGAACACAAGTTGAAGTATATTTTGCTATTAGTCCAGCCACCTTACAAATGAGGAGAAAAGTCCAAAATAGGTTATTGACTTCATCATGGTTCCTTTTTTTATTTTCTCATAGCCTTTTTTGTGTGTATTTTATAGTTATCCCCTTTTGCCCCCCTCCACCCTGCCCACCCCTCTATCCCACAGTGAATCCCCTCTCCGTTGTCTGTGTCCATGATTAATTCATACACATGCTTTGATAATCTCTTCTCCTTCTTTCCACCATTCCTCCCTCCCCCTCCTGACGTATAACCATCAGTCTGTTCATATTTCCATATCTCTGGTTCTATTTTTCTTGTTAGTTTTTTTTGTCCATTATATTCCAGTTATAGGTGAGGTCATATGGTATTTGTCTTTCACCAACTGGCTTATTTCACTTAGCATAATGCCCTCCAGTTCCAACATGCTGTTGTGAAGGGTAGAACTTACTTCTTTCTTTCTGCTGTGTAGTACTCCCTTATGTAAATGTACCACAGTTTTTTAATCTACTCATCTACTGATGGGCACTTAGGCTGTTTCCAACACTTGGATGTTTTAAGTCATGCCGCTATGAACATTGGGGTGTGTAAGTTCTTTTGAACTGACATTTCAGGATTATTAGGGTATATTCCCAGCAGTGGAATCGCTGGGTCAAAGGCAGTTCCATTTTTAGTTTTTTGAGGAAATTTCATACTGTTTTCCACAGTGGCTGCACCAGTCTGCATTCCTATCAACGGTGTACTATGGTTTCCTTTTCTCCACATCCTCACTAGCACTTGCTGTTTGTTGACTTATTAATGACAGCCAGTCTGACAGGTGTGAGGTGATATTGATTGTGATTTTAATTTGCATCTCTCTGATGGCTAGTGATATTGGGCATTTTTTTCACTGTGTCTCTGGGCTGTCTGTGTGTTCTCCTTGGAGAAGTGTCTATTCAGTTACTTAGGCCATTTTTTTAATTGAGTTGTTTGTCTTCCTGGTGTGTTGTATGAGTTCTTTACATATTTTGGAGGTTAAACCATTGTCGGATGTATCATTGGCAAATACGTTCTCCCATACTGTTGATTCCCTTTTTGTTTTGATGATGGTTTCTTTAGTTGTGCAGCAACTTTTTAATTTGATGTAGTCCCATTTGTTTACTTTTTCTGTTATTTCCCTTGCTTTCAGAGATATGTCAGCAAAAACATTGTTATGTGGTGTATCTGAAATTTTACTGCCTGTATTTTCTGCTAGGTCTTTGATAATATCATGATCTATACTTAAGTCCTTTATTCATTTTGAGTGTATTCTGGTGTATGGTATAAGTTGGTGATCTAGTTTCATTTTTATGCATATACCAGTTTAGTTCTCCCAACACCATTTACTGAAGACACTGTTTTTACTCCATTATATGCTTGTGCCCCCTTTGTCAAATATTAATTGACCATAGAGACATGGGTTTATTTCTGGGCTCTCTGTTCTGTTCCATCGGCCTATGTGTCTATTCTTATACCAGTGCCTGAGTGTCTTGATTACAGTGGCATTGTAGTATAGTTTAATATCAGATATTGTGATCCTTCCAACTTTGTTCTTCTTTTTCAGGATTGCTGAGGCTATTTGGGGTCTTTTTTTGGTTCTATATAAATTTTTAGAATATTTGTTCTAGAACTGTGAAATATGCCATTGGTATTTTAATAGGAATTGCATTGAATCTATAGATTGCTTTGTGTAGTATAGACATGTTAATGATGTTAACAGTATATGCTCCCATTTATTTGTACTTTCCTTAATGTTCTTTCTTCAGTTTTCTATAGTTTTCTGAACACAGGTCTTTTACATACTTGGTTAAATATATTCCTAGGTACTTTATTTTTCTTGTTTCTAGTAAGTGGGATTTTTTTCTTAGTTTCTCTTTTTGATAATTCTTTGTTGGTGTACAAGAATGCCATTGGTTTATGAATATTGACTTTGTATCTTGCTACTTTGCTGAATTCACTT